TATAAACCTTTAGGGTTATAAATCGTTGTATTGGCTTAGCTCATCCACTTTTTGAACCTAGGGCATAAACATAGAATCTAGATTATAGGACTTTGCAACTAATAAAGTATCTAGAACTAAGCAGGAATATTTTTCAATGTTTTTCATAGTGGTAATTATACTATTACTGAACTGTTGTTGTACAGCTAAATACTCATGTAATGCAAATTAAGATTTAAAAAAAATATTTTTTTTGTGTAAAAAATACATAATAATATGTATCCATAATACGTATCAAAATACATAATTATGTATCTATCCATAGATATTTTAAGTCAAAACTGAATAATAAGCTTCCATTTTAGTAATACTTTAGATGTAATGACACACACATTTACCTACATAGACGAAAATAAAACTAATTTGAATCGGTTGAATAAGTTTTAAATAAGAAAAACATTTAAAAAAAGAGAAAACGATTGCCTTTCTAAGAAAAACAATGAGAAATGTATTCCTGTCTTCCTCATAAGACACCTTAGACAATGTTTAACATCATGAGAAACTATTGCAAAGTCCGATCACCTAGCTAAGCGCTAAAACCCGTTCTCTACCTTACCCCATATCTCGTTAACACCGAAAATATTTACAATATAATCTTATCTTAACCCTAACACTTCATTTTCATAAACATCCAATATAATTATTATATCGCCATCAACTCGTACCTAACGACCTTTAGCCTATGGTGTTAGAAAATCTATTATTACTTGCAGTCATATAAAAATAACAACAGACTGTTCATTTTCTAGCAAATATCTACAATAAAAGTTCGGATGACCATGGAACCATAGTATAGTGTTGACCAGTAGGTTTACTTGGCACTGGTGGCGATTTAGCTGAACCATAGACTTGGCTTGGATATTTTTTTCTTGAATATTGTTTGAAAAGAGGCAGACACTAGACTAAAGAAGATTTTTATCGTTTAACTTGTATGTATAAGTTAGTTTCATTAACATTTTTTAAGTTTTCCGAAAGAACCACTCAAAGGGTTATGCCCACTTAGTATGGGACCTTTGGCCTGAGGTGAACAGACATTACAGCATGTAATTTGTTATTTATTAAATAGTCTATACCAGTAAGAAACAGAATATAAATATCATTTTGTATCCAAGTCCTTAAAAAAAATTTTTTTTTATTAAGACTATAAAGGTTAGAAGCAAAATAAAACACCTTTTTTTTATTATTATTATTTTAATCTGACTCATGGGTCAATAAAATATTGTCTAGGAACTAGGCAGGTGGAAATACATGTTCCTGATACCTTGCCCAGCTCAAAAACTAAAATTGTCATAACATGAGCACAGCAACCTACTGTTATTCGGCCAATATCAGGGCAAATGAATCCTCGTCCCATCATGTGTTTGTTGGGGCTCCACAGCATGTGTAGCAACTCGATCAGCTCACTGCCATAATGTGGTGATGAATAAAAATAATCGATATAAAAATCGATTGTATTTTTGATGACACGAAATAAGGTGTATAATGAGGTGTGTGTGAAATTAGGTTTCATTTAGTTATTTAAATATTTTTGGTAGTGTTATTAGAATATTAAAAAGGTTTTATAAATGTCATTTTAATGAATACGTATTTAGTCGAACAACAATCGATATGAATCGATTCTTACCGATAAGATTCATTTTGGCAACACTGAAATGAGTGTTAAAGACAGGAAGTTGTAATTATCACATAAAGTACTATTTAAATTGGATTTTTATAAAGGCAAATTGATACAAAGTTACACTAAGTGAATACTTTAAAAATTAATTAAAAATTTTTGGCAAATTCATATTTTCATTAGCAGCTTGTCCACGCCAGGCCAGAAATGAACATTGTCCTTTAGTTAGAGTTGTACGTATAAAACGAAATCATTTTAAAGATTTTATTTTAACAGCACCACACATATGGTGGTTGCGTAAATACGTAGAAGAAGTAGAAAATATCGATTTCGCATTCTACTTGTTTTCGAGAATGTTTTTTTATCTGATCCAAAGGCTTTTGAAATACATCTTTAGGTCTATGATGCTACTATTATTTGTAACTGGTACATCTTTAGGTCTATGATGCTACTATTATTTGTTATGGTAGCTAACAACTCACTTTGTTATTCAAGAAAAAAATATTCCCAATTTTTTTAAGATTGGTAACACAAAATCGCCACCAGTGCCTTAGGTCTGAACACATTGACACCACTTATCTCAGTAGTCTATGGTGTCCATGAAGGGATCCTATCCTCTATTAACAGAACTGTGAGGGAAGCCAGTGGACTTAGCTAACCATTAATGATATTAATTAATTACTAAATTGGTGTGTGTTTCGGTGGGTGCAATAGCACATGCCTACTTAATTTAAATCGACGCACTGTGTAGTCTTATAAAGAAATTAATTTAGTTAGTAGACGTAACAATTCCATCGAAAATTCCATCGATTCTGTTCGACCACAAAATACTAATTTACAGAAGGCCCGCTCGTGTAGGTATGACGTTATTTTGATGCATATGTGCGTCAAATAGAGGCCCTTTACTGCGTTGTGGCGTTGCGTCAAGGCTACCCACAATGGGTTCCCAACACCATACATTATGTAATAGAAAATATCAAAATCCAAGACTTGCTTCAACGCAATCGCAGTCCTAAGCCCAATCAATCGCATACGAAGAAAAAATATTAATCTATTTTCAAGTTCACCTTATTTTATGAGACATGTAAATTATTGCACAAGAGAGCACATCCTTTTTAATTGTGCTAGAAACCGTAGTTATTTCGAGGAACGGTGTAGTACCTAGATTCAATAAGGTGTACAGTTGTAGGTACATCAATTACTTTGATCGTGAAATTCATGCCAAATTTTAGATAGAGTTATGACAATAATGGTTGGAAATAATTTTTCTATCAACTTATTATGTTTTGTCATTTCCCAATCGATTTTCAAATCATTCTGCTCTACGCATGGCTGAACATTATTATGTCTTACCTTATCATTTCCCAATCGATTCAAATCACACTAGCCTACACACTGCTAAAACACCTTACTAAGAGCGGGCCTACTGTCTTACAATATATTGCGACCAACCTTAGAGCCAGCGTTCGTTTTGTCGAGCATCATCGACGATAGACTAAGAACATTCAACCTTTAGCGAGCTTCATGGCTTCGTCTATATTGGGGATGTGCTGTATTTGTTGGTGTTAATCAGGAAAATGGCCTGAAGGAGCCGATAAAGGTCCATTGGTGCCAAAAATAATGTCTCGTTGCTTCAGACAAGAGTACTAAGATTGGGCTTTAGCTACTGTTTACTGATGGGTTTTGGGTACCATGAGAATACAGGTTAGCAATAAAAGTAACATAAAATGACAATATGTCAAAGTTACTAGTTTAATTAATATCAATCAAGTTTTACTAGGAAAACGTTTTAACATATAAAGTTCATAGCTAGAAAAATGCAATAGTGAGGATAGTGGTGTAGTCGTTTGCATGTCATGCATCATTTTACATAAATGATTTCATGTTTTTTTATTTAATCGGCGTTAAGTTATTTTATAATAGACAAGCTTAGACATGAGCAGACTTTCACTAGGGTCATAAGATCCTTTTTCCCTTTTTGTGCACTTTTGAAAAACCGTAATCCGTCTTTCCATCAGTAACTAACAGACAACCTTCACAGTGAGACCAAAATAGGAATAAAAAATTCAGATATTTCAACCCCGATCATCTAAATTGACCATTGAAAGGTAGAGTTTTGTTCTATAGAAATTATGAAATATACCAACAAATAAAGCACACACCTTTAGACCGTTCCACGTAAATTACTACTACGTTCAACTATTCTAAACTAGCCCAGTGTAGCCTCACACGAACAGCTCTACACATCCAGTAACACTTACATTATGAAGACGAACAAAACAACTGAAAATATATTATTTAACCATCCCTGTTTCCCTAAACTGCTCGCTGTGGATTCATTATCAATAATTCAGAATTATCTAAGTAATCTAAATATTATTATGAGTTACGTTGACATATCGAATACGCGGCTCGAAATTTTTTTTTAATTACTTTAGACTGCTACAATACCCTACAAAATGGGTCGAAGTGAGGAAAACCCTCTATGAGCGAGGTTTGAAAAACCTTCGAACACACTAACTACAAATTAATTAGTAAGGATGAAGAAGGAATACTTAAGTGTGGTAGAAATGAAACACCTAATTTTGAATCTAATCTAGGTACAAATTAATAGGTTACCTAAATTTTTAAGACTAACGTCAACAATAGTGTCTTATCTAAAAGTGGTAAAGTGCCGATAAGTGAGTAAAAGACATATTATTACAATCTGTGAAAATTTGTGAGAATACAAATCAAAAGAAGAAACTTGTGTACTAGATTACCCTGTACTCTAGGATTTATTAGTGAAATTACTGTTAACATTAAATTACAGAGGTGACGTCTGCAGGCGCCTCAACTTAAGCATAAATTGAATCAGATCATTCAGTCATTATTTTTTGGGCAAGCATTCGTTTTATTTCTTATAATTATCACTGAATCTTGATGAAGGTCAAGCAAAACCCGAAACAAGACATCGTACAGTACTTACACAAATAGTAATAAATGACAGTTACGAGTTTCATTGGCATTGTCCGGAACTATAAACTTTGCTGGCAGATTTGGCACACCGTTTAAAAAATCTAATAAAACAAGTTATCGAACTATCTAAGAATATCGACTTTTATAAAAATGTTTTTAATTTTACAATTGGCAGTCAATTGTGTGTCACAAATATATTCTAGTCAAATAATATCACCATTGCGACGTGACTCTATATCTATTTGGCATATGATAAGTGTTCACTCCACCTTGATGACTAGACTTTATCCTAATATATCTACAATCCCTTACATAACTATTACTACTGGGAAATTATTACCATTCGTCAAATATCGATATTGTCCTTATGATTTTTACGCGAGTACGTAGTTATCAAATACTAAATTATAATTCAAATTTTTACATCACCATCTTTAATCATCTAGAATGTCCGGCTCTCATAGAGGACGTTTGCAAAAAACTATCATAATAATGTTGATGCTAATCGACGTTTGATTGAATAGTACCACTTTACAATACTTAAACATTACGAAATTGAGCTCGATTTTATTTGAAGTAAACCTTAGAGTAGTATTAACGGTATCATACGCATGTTACTCGAAACTTAATCGTCCTATCGCAAAAAACAATAAACCTCCTAAAGATAATCTGTACAATGTTTGTGCGCTCGTATCAAATAAGTTATGGGAAAGTAAAGTCCGATGGGAACATACAAAAGATGCGTTCGCTTAAAGTATAAACGTTCAATACAGCGTTCTAATTATAAAAAATAGTTGCGGCGGTCTCGGTTGTAACCGGCGGTTCACTATCGACGGACACATACTAAAGTTTCAGTTACAAAAGACGGCTTAAGATGCGCGTTCGCGGTATCGTCCGGCGCACCGTGCATTGCACCACGTAAGCACTAAAGTCCTCGCCTGTCAGTTCCTCTCTGGGGCCTTACATGGATCATCCATGCCACCACATGACGATGAGCTCCCAGAACGTCTTCGGCGGCGAGTGGCCGAAGACGTAAGACGAATTTCAGAGACCCGGGTCGCCTTCTGAGCCCATTTTTAGCAGCTCGAGCTTCTTCTTGGCGATCTTCGAGTAGAGGATGTCAATGGGCTTGGTGTTGTCGTAGAAGGTCGGCGCCCTGAATATGATCAGGGCCGTCCCCAACACGCAGGCTATCGTGAACGCGAACAGGAAGATTCTGTCCAGAACCATGGCCACGTACTTCCAGTCGTCCTCCACCTTCAACAAAGGAACCCAGTTATATTTTGCATAAGTTGTTAAGGAAAAATGTAATGAAGAACATTCTTAGAAGGTAATATGATTGAAAACCGTAAATCAGATAGCCTGAACTCTATCACCTGTAAGTACGGTGCTCGTTAAAAATATTTAATTGTAACATGTGAGACCCATAGTGTTAGATTACAATGGATAATAATATCCAGGCCAAAATAATAAAGAACTAGAACAGCTAAACAAAGCTGAAAGCTGCAAAGAAGATGTAAAAAGTGCCATAGCATTATTGTAGACGTAGAACTGCATTTTCCTGCGTTTGATATTAAAGATAAGGTATCCTAAAATATAAGAAAAGAACTTACGCTTTCAAACTTATCCTTATTCTTAACGTGCTGCGCAATGAACCTCGACCCTTCTATAGTTTTCTCCATCTCTCTCACGTAGGGTTTCTCTAGAGATGGGCTGCCATCATCCAGGTCCAGACGGCAGGGGGATCCGGGGGGTGGCGAGAAGAGCTCATCGTCACCCCCCGGGGGCGGAGGGGGCGATGGGGGCATCCCTGGTAATTCGTACTCCTCGCACCCCCACTCTTTAAATTTGCCATCCATGTCGTCACCTCCAAAGACATCGGTGATCACCTAAAAATAAAGTTGGATTAGTCATTGTCATAGTCAAAATTAGATTATGTTGAAATTGAAATTGTACAATGAACACACTTAGTCATGATGTTTGAATTGTATATCTACGAGTAAAAGTAGTAAGTATTTCTTGAATCACGAAAAATTGATTCTGTTGCATGCCGATATGGTATGATGTAGCTGAACAATATAAATTTTTATGTGACCTATAATAATTATGTACCTCTACATTATGCAATAAATGATTTTGATTTGATTTGATTTAAGTATAATTTGTTGTAGGTACTGTGTTGGTTATTTACGAAAAAATTTTTTTTTTGCAAGTTGTATCAAAAATATTTAAAGGCATTGTTTACTACTTGCATCGATGTTTAAGATCGCCTTTTAGACATACGAGTACACCTACCATTCATTGTATTTAAAAATACTGCCAGCTCTACTTAATTATGTTAATAGCTTCAGCAGGAAACTCCGCGTTCCAATTTAGCTTTAGAATGTGCTCTTGACTAAATAGATTCACGAGCCCGAGTTAAAAGGCCAGCCGTCCTATTCCGGAGTGCTAATGTCTGTACGTGAAATACCGTGAGATTAAAACGTCAGTTGGTGTTTCGCGGGATAGTGTATCGACGTGGCCTAAGCCGGCACACAATTAGGCCGGAGTAGAGCCTCAGCTCGGGTCTGCTGGCCGTATATCGCGCGATCCGTTCGCAGCCACCAGGGGAACATAAATAACGCGGGCTCGCGCTCGTTAAGCCTCTGGCGTTGAGTAATAAAGGAAAATCGAAATGGAATGAAATTGGGTTGGAAACGATATTTCCACGATACACACAGAACACAATGGATTTAGAATATCGCCGAAGAAACCTTCCCCAAGAGTGTCGCGGCTGACGACAATTAAAATCGTTACTGTTGGCTCGACTGTAACGCCGAATTGGTTCTGGCGGAAAATGTTTTGAACGAATTCGCGGAGAAAAGGAGCAGCTTGTTTTTTTCGCTCAAAAGGGATTTCAACTGAAGTACTTCATTTGTAAAGGCATTCACTTCTCAAGTTTAATTAAAACGCTACTCTATTGAGTGCTCAGGTAAATGATTAATGAGTTCAGGGAAGTGTGGGTGCTGTTCGGATTTTTCGTTAATGTGATTTATTAATTCAATATTTCTTACCTCGGTCGGCTTATCGTTATCGTCATCATCATCCGGCGGCTTCTCTGGCCTTTGTATACACAATATTCTGGGTAAAAAATCTATAAAGACCTTCCGCACCCACGGAGCCATGTGGTGGGTGACTGGCGACCTAAAATTTACGTTTAGCACCACGATAGTGACAACTACTGATAATGTGACTAGCATCATAGTGAACAACAAATACTTTCCCAGCAGTGGGACTGTTAAGGACGTCGGTGGGATAATTTCTGCTAATAGCAAGAAGAACACGGTAAGAGAGAGCAGGATTGAAATGCAGAGTGAGATCTTTTCACCAGAGTCCGAGGGTAGGTAGAAGACGAGAACCGAAAGGAACGAAATTCCGACGCAGGGGATGATGAGGTTGACCGTGTAGAAGAGGGTCTTTCTCCTAAGGGTTAGGTTGAAAATGATATCGGGGTATGGTTCTTCGCAGCACGAGTAGAATTTCTCGTTTCGCGTGGCGGGTACTCGCATGATGTCCCATTCGACGGAGATGTAGTACTCAGAGAGATCGATGCCCATGCCAATGTGATCCGAGTCTGGTGTTTGTTTTAGATGCCTCAAGTCCACCTGCAACAAAAATACAACGTCAAAACGAATTCCATAATCGCTTGGGCTGTAATAACTGAGGTAACAACCCTAATGTCAAACGTAATGATCCGCCATATGCTTCTGACGTGGCTCAATTCAACCGACGCGGCGACGTCATAAAGTGCCCTCGGAGTACGCGGAAAATTCTGATCAAAAGGTTTTAGGCGAAATTCATCAATTCAGTATTTTTACTCATGCGTCGTCAAGTATAATGATTTACTTTAATTTGTAAATAAATACTTTCGTATAGAAATTACTTCACAATGCGTTCTTCATTTTAATCACTCTATCTCTTACTATTGAGAAAACTTTGACAGTACGGTAAGTATTTACTTTTCGGAAAGATTTAGCAGACGAGCGACGAACACAAAAACTGCGATAGCCATGTGGAGACGACTCTCGATTTATGCGATTACTTGGGAACTACGAAAATACCGAGCTATCTGTTATAAGGGAATCAAACCACCCAGTCGGTTATAAATGCCGGTTGCTATCTCGAGCTACGATCTGAGGTGTGAGCAGAAGTTTGGAATCCCTTGTGAACTTTAACACCGCGATATAAAGCACAGAATAAGTCCTGGCTTATTTATGTTGAGTTGGTAGCCTTAGATTTATTGGCTCCCTTACACCGATGAATGGTGGTGTCTCTTTCAGAGCTATCATTGTAAACTCAGGTTGAAACTTTTTATCACTTCCTTTCATCGCATATATCTCATTTCCTGCATTATTTATTGCTACCCCATATTTATTTCTTGGCAGCAGAAATTGGAACCCTTTTGCGGAATTTCGATTACATTCCCTTTTTAGGCTGGGTACAACATTCTTTGTAATTCGTGTGTTTTTGTAAAAGAAATGTAGCTATTACGGTCGTTGGTTCTGTGAAATCAACTATCATTCAATTGGCGGAAAGACTTTTTATTGCCTGTCTTAAATTATTTGTAATATAGCTGTGATTGTTGATTGTGGAATTTCTTTTTCGTTTTATTTATTTGTTAGAATCCTAAGTCTAGTGTTTAGAGTGGTTTCTTGTTTACACTTATTACTTAGATAATTTTAGTAGGATGAATAAGTCAGTAAGTTAAAATCGACTACCTACTTCATTCTTACCACATTAAGATGTATAATAAGTCTTCCTTGAAGATATTCATTGATAAACAATATTATGAAATAGTAGTTACATTAATGTGAGTCAGATCCATCACATTTCATTTCACAATCACTTAGGTAATCCAAAAGGATTAAGTTACTCGTATGTTATAAGACATGGAACTTTGCAATTTTTCAAACGCATTTTGATTCTAATGAAATTCACCATGAACCTTAAGCTCGTGCATTAAGATTATACTTCACAAGCACATTAACATTTTTAAATCTCACCGTGTAACCATCGTAGCTCCACGACCCGAACTTCATGAAACAGGTCTGCTCATCAAAAGGAAAGTACTCGACGTCGATCTCGCAGAAAGACTTGTAGATGGCCGGCGGCTTCCACACCACTTTGCCGTCGTGGTGGAGGATGGCCTTCGTCATTATTGTCACTTCGTAGTTACCATCCGCGCTGGAAAGAAAAATGGAGTTAGAATTTGACACAAGACTTCCCAGTCTTCCCGTCACGGTCCCCCGTGGGCCCAGTTAAAAATGGGCCCCGTCAACGTAAGACTATGCACTTATAGTTAATAGCTTTCCGCCCGCGGCTTCGCCCGCGTGGAATTTTGTCTGTCACAGAAAAACTTTATCGCGCGCGTCCCTGTTTCAAAAACTGGGATAAAAACTATCCTATGTTCTTTCCCGGGACTCAAACTATCTCTTTGCCAAATTTCATCAAAATCGGTTGCGAGGTTTAAGCGGGAAAGCGTAACAGACAGACAGACAGACAGACAGACAGACAGACAGACAGACAGACAGACAGAGTTACTTTCGCATTTATAATATTAGTTGGGATTATGACGAGCACTTACTGAAGTAAGATTTCTCGGCTTTATGACTTGCAGCAGATTTTGTGTGTCAAGAGTTCGAGACCCAGTGGCTTAAATAAATTTCAACGGAATTTGCATTTTGAATTTCGCTACAATTGAGTTTTTGGAAAGTTAGGCCTTCGAAAATTCAAAGTTTTTACGTATCAAACTACTATTGCCTATAAAAGTTCAGCCAGTAAGGGGCAATAAAACATAGTTCAACAAATCAGTCAAGTAAGTTGGAGGTAACTTTTGTAAGACAAATAGTTATGGGGAATCAATACTGTAATAAAATTAGTTACATCTTTTTACGATGGTGTTACACCGTCTTACTCAAACACACTCGTATAATGTTCATGATATACTCATATATACATCCGGCTCGAAGGATCATGAACAGGTCTGTACTAGGTAGCTACAATAAAACCGTGGACTGTATGTACTATATCCTTCTATTTGGCTTTCAAACTAGTTCTATCTCTGTTCTACTACAATGTTCTACCTTTTTACAGACTTTGATAGACACATAAACCCAAGGAAATGGAAAAAATCAAATTGAACCGCGTGTTAATCGACCCTCAGTGCCATCTAGTATCACTTTGTAACAACTAAAACCCGTAACAGTACTATATTTTGATACTAGATGTCACTTTATACACATACTAGCTTTCCGCCCGCGGTTTCGCCCGCGTGGATTTTTGTCTGTCACAGAAAAACTTTATCGCGCGCGTCCCTGTTTCAAAAACCGGGATAAAAACTATCCTATGTTCTTTCTCGGGACTCAAACTATCTCTATGCCAAATTTCATCAAAATCGGTTGCGAGGTTTAAGCGGGAAAGCGTAACAGACAGACAGACAGACAGACAGACAGAGTTACTTTCGCATTTATAATATTAGTTGGGATTATGTGACTTCAACAGGTATATTAAAAGGTATGGTATAAGGTATGATTCATATAAACCAAGTATGTTATTATCTGTATAATAGGTAGGTGTAACATAGACCGAGCTGTAACGACTACACAATAGACGTCTGTAAGCCCATGTTACTCTTCAAATGTTGTTGTAATTTGTACATTATTTTCTATAAAACAAAGGGCACTTTCCCGTGCCAAACTATCGTCCCAGCCACAGGTTTGACATACAGAGGATTATCGTGATAAACCGGTATTAGGATGCCGCAGTTAAGCCCAACCGTGGACATAAATAAAGTTAAGACAATGTACTAGGCTTAGACGAAATAAAGGGTTCGAATTAGGTAATTGATATACACATAAGCGCTATACTACATACGAGTAATATTAAAGACACAAAATGAGAATGGCAAGATGTTTTCTATTCCTTCACAAAATACAATTATTATGTTCGTACATTGTTAAAGTCATCAAAGTAGCTTATGGTGTACGCTGTAGTTCCGGATAAACAGATGTTGTCAATAGTGACTGAGTTCCTTGCGCAGCTTCTTCTCAGCACTGACCCATTTATTGTCCCGAAGCAGTGGTAGGGTTAATACTGGGACGTGTAAAAGTGCTTTTTAAAAGCCTACTTGCATAAATAATGCAATGAGAAGGAGAGGTGAGAATAGTGACGTTTTGAATTTGATAGACAAGTAGGACACACGCTAGTATATCAGACTAAACATTTATGTTACAAAATTGACACATTACAATTAAATAGAATGCCATAGATTTTACCTTGATGTGCTGTCGTCCTTAATATCTACAATAATGAAAGTATGTATTCATTTATTGATTAATGTGTTATCCCTTGGCCAATAACGAACCATTCGACGAAATGTTTCACTAATCACAAGTCATAATCATCAATCAGATGTAATAATAACGTTTCCTTGATTTGTACAAATAAATATGTAACAAAACCGTTGTGACTAGATGCTATTTACGAGTAGAGTCATAAAAGTCATTATTGTAATGAGGCTTTTAAAAAGCGCTTTTACACGTCCCATTTCAACCCTACCACTGCTTTAGGACAATAATAGGACAGTGCTGAGAAAACTGTACCTACTTATAATAGGTTGATGTCATCATCAAAGAGAGATGCAGGTTATGGCGCGAGAGAGGTGATCTCCCCTGCCCTTTTGTCCNCATACTTTCAGGAAAACTGAAAATTCAAAAATTTTTATAGTATTTTTCTAATCTTATTTAAACTCTAAAATAACCCCTAAGTAAAGTTTTATTAAAATATTGACACTTTTTTATTCTCGTGTGTAAAGGGTTAATGTGCTGTTATCCGTAATACGCACAATAATGAAAGTATTCTGTTATTGATTAATGTGTTATCCCTTGGCCAATAACGAACCATTCGACGAAATGTTTCACTAATCACAAGTCATAATCATCAATCAGATGTAATAATAACGTTTCCTTGATTTGTACAAATAAATATGTAACAAAACCGTTGTGACTAGATGCTATTTACGAGTAGAGTCATAAAAGTCATTATTGTAATGAGGCTTTTAAAAAGCGCTTTTACACGTCCCATTTCAACCCTACCACTGTTTTAGGACAATAATGTGAGCCAGTTCTGAGAAAACTGTAGCTACTTATAATAGGTTGATGTCATCATCAAAGAGAGATGCAGGTTATGGCGCGAGAGAGGTGATCTCCCCTGCCCTTTTGTCCCTATGTCTGAGAGTCCTCCACCTGGACATGAGCTCCCCTGGCTTACCTGGAAGTCTTTAAATAGACTTCGGACGCAGGTTGGCCGTAGTAAGGACAATCTGGTCAGGTGGGGATTCTTGGATGGCTTGAACATGGAGTGCAGGTGCGGTTTTGTTCCCCAGTCGATGAGGCACCTGATGTCATGCCCTGAGTGCCCAAGCAACTGCACTCAGGAGGATTTGATGAGTGCTACTGACAACGCCACTCTTGTGGCGGAGTTTTGCGCTGACACTGTGTAGGTTTGTTGTCGACACGAAAAGAAGAAGAAGATAGGTTGATTATAGTTCTTGCAACTCACGAAGGCAATTGAGCTTTACTTGTGTGTGTACGTGTACATGCACATATCGATAGTGTAATGTCTGTCAAAACTCTGAAAACTAACAGTAGCGAGCCACCACACACGTAAAGCTCACTCGCCTTGGTGAATTACAACAACTATACCTATTTAATGACGTGATGACACATCATCATTTTAGAAGTACAGGGCCTTATTAAAACAAAACAAAAAGAAAAAAATAATAATGATTCCGCAACTTAAAATTCTTATTAAAAGAAAGACAATACAGCGACAAGTCTCACATTGACATTGGAACAACTTAAGACTGTCACAAGCAACTTTGGAGCATTCCTGAAAATGGCGTCATAAAATAGGTCACCTTCCATTAACGTAACGCCGTAACATTAAAAATAAAGTTGGCAGCGAATTTCCGAGAGCTTTTAAGGGTCACAGGTGCATAAAACCGCGTCTGCTTAAATTTGAAAATATTACAGCAAGCCATGGACTAAAGGCTAATCTTAATAATATGTTGGAGTTGCGCATTACATTTACAACTTTAGTTAAAGAGGTGAAAGGCTTAAAATGCAGGTAAGAGTTTATTTGGGAATATTCGTTTAAATTGCCCATATGAAAAGGATAATTGAGATTCATTTCAGTTTAACTGTCTTATACATGAAACTCGTTTCAGTCATTAATTTTTCAAAGTTCTCGTACCTTTGGACTCTACATTTAAAAACTTCGTAAGTGACGTCAATTTTATTGTAAATTAAATTTAAACTTTTTTAACCCTTTCATACCACGTTCGTTGTTTTTACACAGTTGAAAATTATTGACTGAAAAATTTATTCAGAAGAAAACCTACAGGAAATTACATCCCATTTATTCCTAACAGAATTTCCATTAGCAAATTGTTTGCTGACCCAATGAAACAGGGCAGACATAGACCCCTTTGACGCTAGAGAGCTCACAGACGAGCGACATTATTATGGCGACTGCTTGCGATAGTGGTAGGCGACTGTTAGCGACTTAGGCGACTGTTAGCGACTTAGGCGACTGTCGGCGAGAGTCTCTGAATCGCGCCTTTCTCTGTCTTGACTAAATGTTGACACTCTGACTATACGTGACTGAGAGGGCGTAGCTACTGGCCCGTCTCTGAGAGTCATCGGTGACTGTCAGCGACCATCAGCGGTATTCGCGATGCGTCGACAACGGTCGTCTAATTTCAATATTTATGTTGCCTGCGATTATCGACGACTGTCAACGACTTAAGTTGCAAGCAGTCGCAGCAATACTGTCGCTCGTCTGTAAGCTCCCTTAGCCTCCGCACACCTTGATGCTATTTAGATTAAACGCAACACTTATCGTGTCTTCCGCTTGGCCACCCCTAAGCGCACATTCCACTCCCCTAACCCCACTCAAACATCCACCTAAACACCACCGGATAAGCCACACTTTCCATCAACAAACCACCACGCTAATGCATATAAATGTGGTGAACTACTGATAACACTGACGCTGCTGGTGTTGGTTAAAAATGAACGTGACTCATGAAGGTGGATGACTATTAAAATTTGCAGGTTAACGTTATGCAGTTAAGTGAAACGTGGAGTTTTTGGCAACCATACTGTATGTTGGATGATTTTTTA